TTTTTTACAGAGAGGAAGGGAGAGGGATAGAGAGTTAGAAACATCGATGAGAGAGAAACATATTCAGCCGCCTCCTGCACACTCCCCACTGGGGATGTGCCCGCAACCAAGGTACATGCCCTTGACGGGTATCGAACCTGGGACCCTTCAGTCCCCAGGCCGACGCTCTCTCCACTGAGCCAAACCAGTTAGGGCAAGAGAGTTGCCTAATTTTTAATTTACTGGGGCAGCTGGGGCTCCTCTTCACCAAATGATGGAAATAAGTGATGAGAATAAAATAAGCCCGAGACGTTTCAGGCAGAGGCCAGTTGTCTGTGGTCCTTTAAAGAAAACGGCACAGGTAATGCACATGGGCATCTCCCAAGTCATCGCCTGTGACCTTGGAACAGGCCGAATTCCTGTTCTGCCAGGCCCTGCCTGGCCCTCAGTCTCACCTGGCAGGTGCCGAGGCTGGACCTGGGAAGTGGGATTTTACTGTGGATGCCCAGTGGGGAACCTTACCAGCTGGAACTTCAGACGCCTCCACAGCGCTGGCCGGAGCCCCGTGGCTGCAGTTCTTACTGGCTTCTCCTTTCAGGAAAAGAAGATCTTCCAGATCCCCTGGATGCACGCAGCGAGACACGGCTGGGATGTGGAGAAGGACGCGCCGCTCTTCAGGAACTGGGCCATCCACACAGGTATCGATGCCCCGCATCGTTCGGGGGGGCCCTATGTCGTTCTCATGCTTTCTTTTTTCTTGTAGTTGTGGTATAATTGACCAATAAAATTGTAAGACATTTAAAGTTATGATTTGAGATAGGTGATCCTCATGAAAGGATGCCCCCCCGTTGAGTTAACACACACCTTTACTTTCTCCCATACTTACCTGTTAATTATTTGGGTTATTTTACTGGGAACATTTAAGGTCTGCTCTCTTAGCAAATTTCAGTTCTACCACAGTGTTTATTTTTGTTTTTTTCTACACATATAAAATCTCCTGGATTATGGGCTCGTAAAGAAGGCTCTGGAAAACCTGTGACTTGTCCCCAGGCGC